GGACGTCGAGTGCCAACCTGCACCTATTGGAAACAAAGTGAACTGCTATGGTAGAAAATCCATCTACATATACATCCAAAGTTTCTACGAGTTTCTCTAATGAGATCTGGACTTTTCACTGGTAAAGGCTGCACCAACAAACAGTCTGAAGTATTAACAGGTTTATCTTGTAAGAAACTTTAGTAGACTACGTAAGCATGACTCTTGTTCCTCACCCGATTTGAATGAATTGGATGTCAAAATATTAAATAAACAATTTGCACGACAAGAAAAATTAGGAATAAAACGGGAATAGTATTGAAGAGCACCCACTAGTGAACGTAGTTCCGTAAGATTTTTTCGAGACGGTGCATTTGTCAGTCTAGTTAGTCGTTTCATATCTGGTCTAAAACCATTACCATCAACTAAGTATCCAAGACATTCAAAACTAGATACACAAAATGAAGACTTATTTGGATTTACTGTAATATTCTTCTCAATTAAACGCCGCAATAAAGCAATAAGTCTCTAATCATGAACTACCTTATCAGCACCATGAACAATCAGATCATCTTGATAAACTTCAACACCTTCAAGATCATTAACCTTCCTGAAATATGGCTGTAGAACAACTTGGACCAAATGGAAGGAAATTGTATTTAAACAGACCAAAAGGAGTGTTAATTGTCGTCATAATAGATAAGGATTGATCTAAAGGGATTTGAAGATAAGCATCTTTTAGGTCAACTTTCGAGAACACTTTAGAACCATGAAGTCGATTTAGGATATCTTCAGCCTCTACCGTCGTGCATGTTTGCTTCTACAAACGGGAGTTCAGTGTTAGTCTATAGTCACCACATATTCTAGGAGTCTTACCATCCGATTTCAGTGGCGTAACGATAGGAGTACCCCATGCTGAAGACCGAACCGATTCAATTATGCCTTTTGCACACAAATCATTCAATGTCTTATGCACTGCATCTCGAAGACCATAAGGAATTATTCGTCTTTTGAGAAAGACTGGATCACCCTGTACTTGAAGTTTTATAGGCTGAATTTTCATACCTCCACTGCGCTTAGCACACGTGGCTATCAAATCTTTAAGTAAAGCATCAGAATTTTCTTTAGAAACTAGGAAACACAACTCCACTTTAAGTCTTTTCAAATTCTTTAAACCTAGTATTGACAATCCTGTTTCGCTAACTAGGAATTCACAAGTTATGTATGAGGAATTATCATCTCTTATTAGCAATTCACAACATCCTCGTATAGGCAGTCTGTGTCCAGTAATCTCCAATACTGATACTTCAGTGGGTCGAACTACAACGTTAGGATCTAACGATTTCAAGTTCTTGAATGAAATAATGGACTCTATACTGCCTGTGTCCACAATAAAGTCATGACATGAACCAAGTGATGTATATAATCGCTTTTGAATATGAGCATTACCTTTCGAAATGGTAGACAAAGATAAATGATCATTGGGATCAGCTGAATTATTGGGATCTAAATTACAAGATTCAGTACTACTTGAGGCAAAATGAACAGTAGCTTTGCATACTGCTTGAATGTGTCCTATCTTACCACATCTAAAACGTTTAGCATTACGAAGTGCACATGAATTACGAGAATGGAGTTTTCCACATGATAAACATTCGCAAAACTTGGTCTCACCTTCGTGATTTCTTTTGTAATTCTTTATTGAAACACCGTTCATATTTACACGAGAATAGGAACCACTGTTAAACGAACACAATTTTGATTGACCCTTAGATTGTATTTCATCATGACAACCAATCAAAGTATTGGAAATCTTCATCGACTGAGTATTAAGTTCATTCAACGCCTCGTAGTTAATACACGCAGTTCTAACATCCTGAAAGGAACAGTTCAACATTCTTAACAGCTCTCATTCCAAACTAGGTATGTTAATTCCTGCGATTAATCTGTCTCTCAGTTGCACATGAAGTTGATCACCGAAATTACATTTGACAGCTTGTTTCTGCAATTCGAAAGTGAATTCCTTAACCTTTTTGGTCATTTTGACGAATGATCTTGTGAAATTTCGCCCATTCACGGCATTCAACACTAGTGCACTTTACATGATTAAATAATAACTCCTTAGGCATTCCATAGGGAAGTGGGATAGGTTTTTCTGGATATGCCAAAGTTTTTAATAAGTTGTACGCTTCTCTTCCGATGAATGTCAGGAAATAAGCCACAATTTTATCATTTTTAATATCTTTCTTGGTCATACTCCAGTTTCAAACCTTTCCAAATAATCTTCAAAAGCTTCAGAAGTAAAATGAATATCTAACTGTTCCATTACAAGCTCCATCGCGACGCCAATATGATGAGTAGAAGTATGTGAATTATTGAATTAACTAATAATCCAAGAAACAACGTAAGTGGATCAAGAACTACGAGATGAGCACGAACGAATGTACTGTATTTAGAATTCGAAATCAAGCAATCAACAACCACAAGAAGTCACATATATGCAACCTTTTCAGGAATTCGCTGGAGTCACGCCAACTCTCAGCTGAATGGAAACACGCTACCCCCGCAAATTTGCAGAGGTACAGACAGGAAAGACCCAGCCTGCTGTTAACCAGTCGCATTACTGCCAGTACTACTGAAGATAGTAGGAGGACTAGTGAATGGGCAAATAGGGGAGTACATGGATAAGAATAACACGCATTTTTCGCAAATAAATCAATTAGTTTATACTAGCTCAAGAAATATTTATTGCATATTGGATGGTATGAAGGGTTGTATTTCGAGTGTGACGTTACCTCGACTTCGTGTTACTGATTCGAACTTTTACTGCTTGACGCATTGGCTGACGATGCACTCCATTATCGTTTCTCATTATGTTATTGTACCTAGGAACCAACCAGAATGAGGCATAAATTATTACTCTTACCTGAAATTTTCTGTTATTCACAGAAAGCCACAAAAAATAGTTTGCCAAAGAAATGTTACTCGATTTTGCTACGTTGCCATTTGTAATGCGCTCAGCGTAGCGAACTTCAATTCTAAGATGGTAATCTCTAAAGTATCTGCAGATTTGTTAGACAAACCAAAACGTGACTGAAGTTACTGACCACGATACTTTTCATTGACGTGACAACGTGGGGATTATCTCTACTCTTATGCTGCACTATCAACTTGATTTCAGTTACCATCATACTGCCTTAATCATACTCGTGTGTTATTTCTACTTGTTGTCCTTTGCTTTCATTACTAAGTCTAAATGCTTCGGCTTACTTTGATACTAAGATACGCTGACCCTGTTTCCTAATTTATGTAAGGAAATGCGTTTACTAGGTTAACACAGTTAGTTATCTTTATGCCTCTAATAAGGTAGCACCATTATTGTGGCCTCAACGTACTTTCACATTCAAAAACAAAATGTATTACACCGACTGAAAGCAACGTATGTCATTATCATTAACTTCTGAATTCCTTTCTCAACAAACTTATGAAATTGTTTTTTTTCGTAAGAGATTGGGTATTTTATCACCGGAACTTTAACGGTGTAAATGTCAAACGTCATTATTTCGATGTAAACTTGCTACTTATTATTTAAACACTGAAGCACCTATATATTTATGCGCCACACAAATTTTCGAATTTCTGTGTGGGCTAGTATACTGCCGGACCCCCAAACCGAAGCAGGTGGTTTACTTAGGGGGTCACGCCCCGAGCCTTTGACTCAAAAGTCTAATCGACGAGGCACTGGAGAAACGTAATGAAATACGATCCCACGAAGGTTGGTAATCGATAGTTGGTTAGTTCACCATTTATTCCGTCAGGATTCTGGAGCCTGTGTGCACCATTGGTTTGGAATAAGGGTTTTTCAAATCCTCTAGGTAGATCCCCTGTACCTAACGACCCGGTTTAAGCGCTGGTCATTCGCTTTTCGTTTTCTCAACTTCGTAAACAACCCTACCACGAGAAGGTAGTGATTAGGACTTCACTGACAGTGTCTATATACACGTGGCCAGACAGAAGCATTCGAAGGAGAGCAGTATCACCCCACTCAGCCGTGCCAAGATATTTGGGGGCCTCATACTTCGAAGGAGTTTTCGAGTGTCTATAACTTCTCGTCATCGGGTACACAAAAATCCGATCAGACGATTTCAACAGCACTTTAATCCCAACTGAAATCTCTTATTCTTTTTGGGGTGTAGTTCATTAGGTATCGTGCTATCAAAAAGCCAGTACATCTAGTTCTGTTTAAATCATGTTGCTTTTAAAATGTATTGAATACAAAAAATGTATTTAACTTCCTCTAAATGTTTGATTTCTTACAGTTTGGGGGCCAAATACTTCGAGAAAGTTTTTAAACGCGTATAACTTCTTTTCATCAGGTACATCAAATGATTTAGGCAGAACTTTAATCCTTGTGTATCCAACTTCATTAAGAGAGACATTTCACCTCAACTGTGCGTATTTATGCTTGAAGTATACTAGTCATACGACTTGGCTGAGTTATCTCACGTTATTCATTTAATAGTATCAGTAATCCACGATTAGTTGTCTTTTTCGACTAGTAGTCAACAGCTATATGTAAATCATAATTACTGATCAGCACAAAATGTTATCAGAACAACAAAATATGCAGTGAGCCTTCATGTAAAGCACTGCAGAGTTGTCTAATTTCTGGCTTCGAGTTCAGCATGGTTTATCTTCTTAAAGCACACTAATAGGACGATTCTTTTCTATTTCATTATACTCATTTATCTGTTATGATATACTCATACACCATATTTAAGATGTGATCGTAGTAAAATAAGCAGAGGATTGGTTCGCTTGGTAAACCACTAATATTTGCACGCATTTAGTTTCTGTCCCTATGTAGTGGTATTACTCTTGTATTTTATGCTGTTTTGATTTGCTGTTCAAATGTACATAAACTGGTAGTGATACCAGGTTTGATAGCTTCATTGGTTTTCATGTCTATCCAAATTTACCATTTCAGCTGTTCTTTTTCAGATTCATTTGTCCCGCAATTTATGTGGTATTACGCTTGTAAGCTGAACCAAAATGAAAAGATGATTAGTCTAAGACGTTCTTTTCACATGAAAATATCCAATATAGTCTCAGAAGTTGTAGTATTTCTTCTTAGACTTTATGTTCTTGTCGTATGGAATATAATAATATTATATCAGATATTGCGTAAAAGAAGGGACTGTTGGATTCATATAAATGACCTGCGTGTAGTTCATGAGAATCAAGGCTTTATAGTTATTAATAAGCATCCTGAGTTACTTATAAACTGCACAACCCCATGGATCAACTGTTTAACTTTACAAATGCAGGTTAGTCGATTCCCTGGATTTTTTTTCTTAAAACACGTGCCTTGTTATCAAAAAATTTAATAGTGATTTCATTATTCATCTAGTACTGATGTACTCTGATTATTTTAGCAATATAAACTAAGCAACAACATAGAAATAAAGACAACAATCCAGTCCAAATATTTTTTTGTTTCACCTATATCATGACAAGTTTTTTACGTAAGTGAAATCATATATTGTCTCATTCTCTAATCACTTGCTTAATCACTCACTAATAGGAAAAATCATGGTTTGATGAGTTGTCTAACGTATTAACTATTTCTGAGAATTATTTAAGGCTAAGACAATAATTGACGAAAATCAACTCAATGTTCTGGTTCGTTAACTGCTGTTAGCATAATTAAATTCCCGTATCAATGTATATAAACCAGTGAAGTGGTGGCTTAGTGCTTAAATCACAGTTTGGTTACGTGTTCCAGTTGTGTTTCACCGTCAGTTTGAGAAGTTGACTAGTATCGCGTAGAAAAAATGGATTACATTGTTTTTATCATTGATGAAACAAAGTTTCAATTAGTCATCTAATATGGTCAAATTATTTGTTTAAATTATTAGTCAGTCAAATTCATGATATGTATTTCTCAAATAAACACAAGATCTTAAGCACAATAGTAGAATAATAAAAATTACCAGTTTTTAAAAAGGCACAGGGATATGAAATCAACGAAAAGGCAAGCATATGAAAATGATCGCAAATAGAATAAATAAGTTAGAAAACACCATTGTAATGATGAATCAGAGAAAAAAGTTAAATTTATACTGGCTTGTCGTTTAAAACAAGGTAATTCACTCTGTGATAGTTTTCATTTTAAATAGTACATAAGCAAAATATGCCTTGTTAATGCTAACTACTTTCTGTAATGTGATTCTTTTTTCAGGTACTTAATAGTATAATCATATTTTTTCAGAACGTTACACATTTCTTGTGAACTGTTAGTTTAGTTTCGGGTAAAAATTGCTAAATGTACGTCGGATGTATGTTTAAATTCGAATCACTATTCCCTTCCGCTAATTGTCAAAGAATTTGATTCTGTTTACCTACCAGTGTGATATGTATGAACCAGTTTCAAATCTATCATTAATTAATGGTAGTTAGGTCATACAACTGAAATCATTCAACTTAGATAAATTTATTTTGTTAAAGTATGAGGATTCATCCAACCGAAACCGATAGGAGAGAGCACATTTTACTGATATTTTCGCAATCATTTCTATTAGAATTTCACTAAAGATAGAAATTAAAATTTCATCAACAGTATTAGTAGTAATACATTATGTATACTCTTATCTTACTGATCAGTTGAGTATTCACAAGTATTTTTGAAATTGAATTGATACTAATGCTTTTATTTCCTTAATTAATACTCGTCATTTTTTTAAAACGCTTTTCATATCATATTTAAAATTGTAGTTGTTTTACAACCGTACACATTATGTTAATTGGAAATTGAAAAATATGTTTCATTTTGTTCATCGACTTGATTTTCCAACAAGTGGTTTAATATGCATTGCTTATGATACAAAAGTTGCTAATATGGTAGGTATGATTGTGGTGATTAATTATTTTTCATTTTAACTATTTTATACTTCACTGTACTTTATTAGTAATTTAACTTTTTTTTCCATTTAACTCAACCCACTAATCATATATAAGTTCATCTGTTGAATTTGACTTCTATCGTTGTTTTGGTGGGAGCACTGGTGTATCATGGGACAACCGTATAAGCAATGCTGTCGTTAGGAAACGAGTTCTAGGTAAGGATGGCAAATCAATAGATGAAGTAGTGAAACTTCATCAGTTGAAGTGGTTAGGACATGTGTTACGTATGCCTAACCACCGACTGCCTCGACGAGCTATGTTTTGCAGTGTAGGATTAGATTGGAAGAAAGCTAGGGGCGGCCAAACCAAAACATGACAGAAATCCATGAGGTCACTGACAAGTGGACTGAGTCATGTTGGTAGATATAGACTACCTGGTTGGGGTCCGCAAGACGATAGTTACTGATGGTTAGAGACCTTGAACGACATGGGTCAGAATCGTTTGCAATGGCGCAGGTGCATCCACTCTTTGTGTTCTATAAAATTCTATGCTTCTGCATTCCTCATAATCTTTATCTTTCTCCTTCTAAATTTATCTTACTGAATTATATTTCTCGAATCAAATCTTCGCTCCCTAATCTTCTCCATTACTGCTAATACTTCTACTATCGCCAACACTCTTGGATCTGAAGTGACAATTGCGTTTCTGTACTGATGGGGCATGGCAACCTGAACTGATATACTTACGTACGAAGTTCTGCGTTGTATCTGTCTGTCTATCTGTCTGATGGGAGCACTACTTAATTCCCTACGTCTAAATTCAGATGGAGTTATATTCTAATCCATTAATTGATAATGGAGTTCTTGAACACCAATAGAGTACACTTAAATTTCTGCTTTTTTAAGGGTTATTCTTTAAACTATTAAATAAACTGTCTCATAAAAACCTTTGAGTTATAAGAACTGTGTGTGAACTGCAAATGTATAATCCAAGCAACTAAGACAATTCAGTTCGGTAAAAAACACAATTTCGAAATATATTATCATTGCCCCCATCTCAGAAATTAATGTCCTCAATGTTTTCATTGTGCAATAGTTCTAAAAATGTATCTCTTCAGGTTAGTAATAGTTGTTCAGAATCGAATTAAAACCAAATAATTATACTGTTTTGCTTAATCTAGTATGGTTAGTAAAGCCTATACTTACTAATTCATCTGTTGATACACAGAAATAAAGAAAAGTAATCTAACGTAGCTACTAAAAGTGATGAAACATATTCCTAAAGGATTTCACAATGAGTTAGTTTAAAATGTCTCAATAAACCTAACGAGCAGGAAACCATACATCTCTATTGTAAAACATAAACTAAGATCATGGGACTGACTTTAAAATAGCTTTTAAGGCTTTACGTAGAAATTTTCAAATCAATTTTCTCAAGGATTGGCTATTAAAAAACTTGAACATGTACAGAAATTTTATTCTAACTCTAAACCTCCCCTGATAATGTTTGATCTATCGTAAGGCCTGATGTAGTTTGATGACTTTCCGCTTTGCATATTGTAGTATTATTTTTTTCTTTCTATTATTTCAGAATTGCCTTTAATATATATATATATATATATATATATATATATATATATATATTTGACTGATATTGGTCAATTTTTGTATATAAATGCCTTGACAAGTATATACGTGACCAAATTGATCGAAATGTATGATGCGAATACATTGCACTATTGAAATTTGTATAACGTACTAGGTTCAACACTGATATGGTTGTTGTTGTTGTTGATGTAGTTTATCTGTCCTCCCTTGATAGTCTTTTTTCTACTGTTTGTGACTTGTTTGCGCAAAAGATGGTATTACAATTTGCATTTCTTATAGCAATCTGATTCATATATCACTTTGGGGCAATATATCTAGTCACAATTGTAGTTTTCACTTCAATGCGGTAGTCAGCCCTGCCTTTTGCGATGACACAGTTGAGGTATTAATTGAGAAACATCTCTTCCTTGATATATTACCATATCAGACAGGTTGATTTTTTAGTGGTTCAAGGTCTAAGTGTTATGGCTTTGTTGGCCAATGAGTAGAAACTACCTTTGAGTAACCAATAAGCAACAAGGACAAAGAAACTGATACTCTCTATGCCTGATGGCTTGACTCATTATGAACTTGCCCCGAGCCTAGGAAGAACACGAGTCCAAGATCATTCCTTTATTTCCGACATCCTTTATATACATTCTAAACCAGAACTCATCACATCAATAAACGTGAAGTAGCAACTATACATGAATAAACCAAAAGTGACTGTGAGAGGCAATTCAATAAAAAATTGTCAACAAAATAAGGAAAGTAAATCGTATGATAATAGTTTATGGGTTGATGAAGAGCTTACGATAAAGCATTATATATATACACAATAATCTAGTTACTTAATTATGCAATAGTAATCCATAAATTAGTTTTCTAAACTACTATCACTTTAATCTTCATTTCGATATCACACTAAATTATTGCTGACTCAACAATAGTAAAATATGTTTCTTAGTTAACCCAACATCTCCAACGAGTAGAAAGATTAAAAAAAAACCAATTTCTAACAAAAACGCAACTTCTCTCCATGTATTTTCAATTCCATGGAGTGTTGTAATGGTACAAAGCTAAGAATTCAGAAATCACTCACAAGAAAATCATCCGTGACTGACTGGACAAACTTAATACTAATTTTCCTTTTAATGTTTCTCAAAAATAAGTATCCTTCAAATAATACACAATACAATAAGAAAGAAACATTTGACCTCACATTCAACAACTATAAAAAATTATTAATATACTTGCATAGGTTAGGGAATAAATGTCACAATTTCTCTTATATGATTTTTTACTATTGTTTTATGCCTAGATTAAACGTGCATTTGAGAAGAGAGAAGTCAAGAAGTATTATTTAGCTATTGTTTGGGGTTATGTTGGATCATTAAATAACTCAAATCCATTATTCGTTAAACATGAATCAAAGTTTGTACATCATATTCATATGCCGATTGGTTCATTTCCATATATTTGGCCAGACAGTGGACGCAAGCAAAAGATAATTGTTCCTATTACACATCCAGAATGTCATGTACGTGATTTGTCTTTCTCTGTATTGAGATTATGAAATGATTCACTGTACTATTAGTCAAAGGGCCATTTTTAAAAGTTGTAACTCAATAAATTAAAAGTTTTGATAGATATTATTCTCCTCATGTATACTTAGTGTCTAGAAGATATGCACGATTCAAAACGACTGTGTCAAGAAATACACTCACAACGGTACATTATATTATTATAGTCGAAGGGCACTGTTCGTCAACTATTTACTTCTGATTTCGGTAACTTGTATGTAATAACACTGTCGAGCACAGATGAATATATTCTTTATGTCTCCAGATTTTCAGTTTCAATGCTTCTCTATACGTATTTCGAACAGTGCTTTCAAAGCTTAGTCATTGATATTGCCACCACATTATTTCGATTCCTTTACTAGTCCTGTTAATTTCAAATTGTCGAGTTAATGTAGTCCGATCGCTTAAGTTGACTCACATTGATGCCAGAATGGGTAATCGTGAAGTGACATTTGCCCTCAGACCCCTATCAACACACGAGATCAACCTGCTCACAATCAAATCCTTTCCCCACCTGTTAATAACTCTGTTGTTTCCACAATTAACCTTTCTCGTACACCTTTATGGATTCGCGCTACTAATGCTAACAGTTTGCGTACACGAAATGTCATTCCTAGTCTTCTCAAACCCTACTTTAAACTATATATTGGAACTTTTAATATTCGGACCTTGTACCGAATAGAACAACAGGTTTCCTTATCTAGGACTTTAGGATCTCACGCCATTGATGTATGCGGTGTCTTCTAGTATCCAAGCATCTAGCATCCAAGTACAGTCATTCATTTTACCTCACCTTGTCAGAATAAACCGATAATTCTATCTCTTTATGCTAATGTAGTATGGCAACTTGAACTGATGCATGTACGTACAAAGTTCTATGTTGTAGCTGACTAACGGATTGATTGTTGTAAGTATAAAGAAGTCAGTACACTGAAAACTGAAATATATTTTTTATAGTGATGGAATTCAAACCTCTAGCATCTATTTCGAGGGGTGTCTTTCCAGGACGTCATTTATGGAAAAACTAAAATGAAATTCTAAAATTGAACAATCTTGCTTAACATTATTTACGATTTAGAAATAACAGAAAAAAACTTAGTTTACTACTTATATTTATCCTGTTGCATTCATGAATCCTTATTTAACTTAAATCTATGTAATCTCATTTTAGAGACCACGTGAATCAATAACAACAGTTATTGTTTTAAATTATGGCAAATTATTGGGTGAACCAGCTACACGTTTACTTCTTATTCCTAAAACTGGTCGTCGTCATCAATTACGTGTTCATTGTGCCATTGGTTTAGGTCATCCGATTGCTGGTGATATCACTTACGTTCGTCGTCCATTCGATCATCCTAATGTTGTTTACTTGAATGATATATATACAATGCATAACGTTAATTTAGACTATAAGTTGAAAAATATGATGTTACATGCATACACTTTGAAAATGAAATTAAGAATACACAACAAAAGAAAGAATAATAATAATAATAATAATAATAGCAATGTATGTGCTAATATGTGTTCACATAGTTTACCTGAAGAGAAAGAATATCAATTTCAAACAAATGATAATCCATTTTTTAATTCAAATGACGCTTATCTATGGGAGAAAGATGAAGAAACTGAAAAGATGATGATGACGACAACAACGGGACAAACGACAAGATTGCACACATTGGAAGAATATATAATGAATAATGCATATTGGGATAATGATGATGATAAGCATTTTTCAACTTCTATTGACAAAAATTTATAGTTGTATGATATGCATGTGTGAAAGTGCCTGTTATAGTCGTTTATTGTAGTATGTATATATTAACAAGTGACTTGTTTTTTAAAGAAGACTCTGAAATCCAGATGCGATAGTTAGAAAAGATGCTATTCAAATACAGCGTATAGAATATTTAAGGATACTATCTGGACAACTAGGTTACCCGTAATTATGAAACTGAACATGACCTGTCTGAAGAATAAATTTTTTATAGGGAATAAAACTGTTCAATTCATGCAGCATCCAAGCGTAGATAAGACCGTTGCAATATTGCGGTATGATCACGAAAAAGCATAGGGTAGCATCAAGAGGAAGGTAGAAAATAGCATGCAACCGGATTTATCATCTTGCGTGGTACGTGTTCATCAACTCAGTTATAGGTTCACAAGTACCTTTCTCATTTGATCGAATACATATATATCCCAGATTGATTGCATTGGTAGGATAGAGTTTACTTTGAGTTTTCTGATCTTGTTACTAAAGCTTTGTCCTCAAGGGCTATAAAGGTACTAGGTGAGGCCAAGTAAATAACTGTACTTGAATCCTATTTCGGATACGCAACATTCGTTGATGCTTAGTTGTTCTAGAATACTAGCTAAAAAAGCTAGCTACTTTATTTGGTGATACATTGTAAGCTCCAACATGTATTTTAGTACGAAGTTTTAAGAGACAAGAAGTAACGCTATGAAATCCTTAGCAGTGGTCAGTCACTTAAAACGTAGAACTTCGCGCGTACGCACATGAGTTCAAGTCGCCATCATTGCGCAGGCTTTTTATCAGCTTGAGCTGACTTCACTCGTCATGTTCAGAGCCAGATGGGATGAGTTTTCGAGCATCTATCAGTTTGGCAGATGCCAATGAAATCCACTGTTCCTCCCTAGCATTATGGTTTACCTTACTGACAGATATAACTGCTGTTTCCACAGCAGTTTCCAAGCTGCCTCAAGGTATCACTTACATGGCTGCCTTACTGGTGTTCTAGTTTTTCCTGAAATATATTCTTAGCTTTGCTACCATTAATTAGAACCCTAAGAGGTGTCCTCACGGTCTTTCCTACGTCCAGTAAGCTTCAAACAAATATGCGCTCGCACTAGAGCATGACCTGAATCTAAACAAGTGGTCCAGTCTGCCCAACGACTTTATAACATAGATTAGTCTTGGAGACGAGAGCGTGACCGAGGGGCAACAGCTTGAGGCCGGTCACGCACAGAGAAGTTTTTGAAGTGTCAGCTCCGCTCTTTTAAATTAACTGAACAGAGATACGGATCGTAGTTTTCCTCGTCGAACATATTTTATACAAGACTACCATGCTTTGTAACACAATTGACGATCAGTCATTATTGAATACCAATCCAATAAATAAGTGGATTTGATACCAGAATACATTTAAAAGCCAGTTTCGCTTGACAAGGTTTCCAATTACCAAGGTTGTGTACTAATTAACTGAGAACAAGCAAGTTGGTTACTGAAATATACTTTGACAGATGGTTTGTTACTAGGTCTTGGTCAAAGCCATAAGTACTTCAATGCAATGAAGTTAGTAATTAGTTCGAAAGGTTTCTTGCAATCAATAGTGACAACGAACGCCAATTTATCGATCCTTAATGAAAATTCGCTGTTGGGCTAAGGTAGATCAACCTAAACGTTTACTAAGTAAAGCGTTTCGTAAACTACTGTCAGCATTTCCGATATAACGAAAGATTCGTATGTCACAAGCGAAATGTTGAGGTTAATCGAGATACATGCAGTGCGCTGTCAGAGGGTCGTACATCTGCTTTGGGTGACTAGCTACATACTCCGACCAGATATAGTCTTATACGTCGCGCTTAAAAAGTGTAAACCTACCGTACTGCGTAACGCTTACGATTATCGATCATACAGTTATTAGTCGATTTAGGAAACGTCAATTAGTCACACAATCCGACCCGGAGGTTATGTAATTCTATTCATCTTTGATTAACTCTTATCCATTAGAGAACGCAATATAACCGATAAGCTAAATCAGATGGCTTCGTAGTATACAGTATTATACTGCATGTTTTGAACACTTTAAAATATTCGAAACTACTTCAGTTTCCTGATACATTTCACAGCTTAAATAATGGAGTGCTAATAAAATGCACAAAATAACCTTTCACATGTGACGAAAAAATATCTACGAGCCTTATTCGATACTAATCAAAACGATTTAGTGAAAATTTTCAATAGGAATTAACAAAAGTAAGCAATGTAATTGGTGCTTTATGAATTAATGTATACATATGTATATATACAACCACGAAAAGTAAGTAAACATGAAAAATAATTATGATTTTGTACAAATGATGATACACAACTAAATACATTAAATGAATTTCAAGTACGGAACGGAGCTCTTTGTATTCTATTATTGACAGATGATGTCGTTGTGTTATGTACATTACGTGAAGATTTCTGTATTTTGAGAACAAAAAATAATTACAAGTAAGATTTCAAAAAAATTGGTTAAAGGCATATAAATAAGAGTTTACACATTAATAAATTAAAAAATTTATGAATAATGAATTGCATTATCAACTGAATAGAAAGAACTAATACTATTATGCTGGATACTACTCGCAGCAGGGCTTATAAGTAGTATGCACGGGACAGGTGAGAAAGAATCTTCCAGACCTTGCTACTGAAGTGTCGGATCAGAATGTATGGCGCGAGCGGAGAGCTTCGAAGACTAGAAGACAGACAATAGCCCGCTTGTTTTGAAAACGAAAGTTTGAAGATAAGGTGTACCACTTTTTGTGAATAAACCGTGTCTAATTTGCATACATCACTCATTCCATATGGGTTTAGCGTCTTCGCTCCTTACACTATGATATATTAATTCATATTGAGGTGGCTGTAGTTGATTTGAAATTTTAACCTGATTGACTGGACATCATTTATTTAGATCAGTGTTACAGTTTAATTACTTTGATTTGATTGAAAACGTCATTCAAATATTTGGTAGATATGATATTTGTTATCACTGAATTAAATATTTATCGATAATGTTCAATAGAATGCACACAGTTCAATAATAACAATTTGTTAATCATTGATATAGTTTTACTGTTGGTGAGACACTACAGCAGCCCCAATAAAACACTGGCCAATTTCACCACGTATTCGAGTAGGCAGAAATTCTAAAGCTTTTTCATCCCTAGAACAAATGCTAACCAACTAATTGGTCCAAAAGAATCAATTAACTGGTGTTTCCATTTGTTAAGTTACCTTACATAATCAAGCTAGTACTAAAAATTAGATAAATGCATCTGTATAAACACAAGTACATGAATTATGTGCAGTGACAGTGAAAATTTTCGTTTTGAAATAGATGCATCGGTAGTGTTGAAATTAAAAACAAACCAGTTTATATGTAAGTGACAATAACTTACCACAGCAGATTTAGGTGCCGTAGATAAAGGAGAAAGGAAAGAACTATCATTATTGTTTCGCATATTTTTTATCTAATAATTAACAAAAGAAAATAAATACACGGATAATGTAACAACCGGAATTTCATTTCAGATAAACAGAGAGAGAGAGAGAGAGTGAGAGAACTAGAAAACTTATCATTCAAGTTAGTATGCTTGTTAAACATTGATCTGTACGATAGATGTGTAAACACTAACAATTTGGACTTCCATAAGGATTGAAAGCCACTGATGCTGTTACGCATAGTAAACAAAAAAATAAATCGTAAACTGATCACACCTGAAATATCCAAGTGAGGTTGAAGGTGGATAAGAGCCCGCTCTCTCTCTCAAATTGTTTCATATGATCATGTGTTTATAGCATCTAACATGGGAGTCTTACTCACCATTCTTAAGTGGCGGAGATGTTGTATACAAAAATGGGCAAACGAAAAATGAACGTGCGACACATAGACCGAGTTGGTTGGTACGGAGCATTTACTAAGGGAAATCGGAAGACGCTGACTCCAAACCAATGGTGAACATGAATCCCAGGACCTTGATGGAACGAAAGGAGTATTAACTGATTTTTGGTGGTTGGTTAACATAGGACAGTTACACCTTTCGGTCAAAAGTGTGAGAAGTGGCTGCTACACAGGGAAACTGCCCTTTTCGTTTTAAGCGCCCGGGTGGTAACCTCAGGTCATGCAGAAATATCTCTATGTACTGAATAGAATAATAAATGAACAGATCGATATACTGTCTGATTCGTACGAAGATGTAGACAGTGGCAGCAAACAGTTTAAATACATACGTAGAAGTGGTAGTTGTGTCACACATTGTTTTAATTATTGAATAAAGCAAAAAGAAAAAATAGGCCGAAACTTTTGATTGTTTTTGGCAACATGATACAATATCTTATACAAAATCAATGTTTAAAGCTCTTGACTTTCAATCAGAAAAGCGGATATGTCAGTGATTTTTACCTGCTCTAAAAAGGGATGATTTTGTGTTTTATTAACAAGTCACATTTACATCTTAACGATGTGAAATAGAAAATAGATTATGTTAACGTTGACTGCAAATAACAGTAAAAAAAAGTGAAATCTTGTACCTGTAAAACGCGTGGTGTCGAACAGACTTTCTTCCCACTAAGTCTTGCACTTCGACGTCTTGTGGGTATACTTGCGACAACTTTTTTTTGCGATGAACTCGATGAAATGCATGAAGCGACTGGAGTTTGTGTTGAAGACTTTGCTTTTGTTATAGGCGTGTGGACTAATGACAAGGATTCTGTAGAACCAATTCCATGTAGAGAAACCATACTGGAACAAGCCAAGAGAGGCGATTGCATGGTAGCTAATTTAGAATTGCTATTGAATGTTGTTGAGGTGTACTGAAAAATATAAGAAATAGTTCGCAATATATTTAAAAGAATATAAAATATATCACTAAACAACATGAGTGATGAGTCACTATACTTCAGAAGTTCTTACTAGACAGATGAAGTGATCTAAATACTGGATAGGTTTCTTGTACATCTGACAACTAGAAACTAGAAGTTTTCGTTAAATAAGCTCAAACAATCAATTGATTCGGATTACCACTTCAATATATCGAAAAAAAGGATGCTAGGAATTGAATGAGATGATTTTATAATCCCATTTTCACTAAAATGACCGAGTTTATACGGTATAAATCATTTTATTCATGGAATCGACTTCTATGCATCACTGATTAGCTAAGAATCCAGAGTCATCGTTTATCTTAACGTGGTATGCACAAGCATAGTTTAGAAGACAGATACAAGAAGCGAGAATATGAATGGGTATCGACTTATAAGGCTACCAGTTGGTGATTTGAACAGTTTCTAGACATTTAAACCTCTTAGTTGAAGTCTGTACGATCATGACATTTATAAGGGAAAAAGCTGGTTTGCATGAACCACAGACAGCATGATCAGTACAATCATATTCACGCTATATCTGTTTTTATGTTCAGTCATATTGATATTTCACATCCATTATTTTACAAGTTCACGCATTATTTTGTCTGTAGTTGATTTTCTGCTGGCTAGTGTCATGTCGACGTTTTATACTTTTTGATGTGAACTGTCCCAGCCAGAACAGGTACAAATATGTACAACCTACCATAAAATTATGCACGATTGAATAAATATAACCTAAGAAACAAAATTGAAGCATATTCTACAAGACAAATTTCTAATCTTATTTTCACTCTCATAATCTTGAACAAATTGACATATAACTTCGAAAATCACTATGTCAGTCAATAGAAAACACATCTGCATTTACTTTTACTTGGTTACGAAGGTCAGATTTATCCTATATTTGGCAAATATCATGTTAAAAATATGACCCATACCACACAAATCAGATACGATCCATTTATGCTAGCATGCAACACAAGAAATACAACATCAAACCTGATTGAATGTAAACACAATCAATCAATCAATAGCAACGTAGAACTTCGTACGTACGTATGTACATCAGTTCATGTTACCATACCACATTAGCACGCAGAAGTAATTGTCAATTCTAATTCCGTGATAGTAGAGGTAGTAAAAGTATTAGCAGTAATCGGAGGGATTAGGGTTAGATATTATTCAAGAAGTAGAATCTAGTGAAATAAACTTAAAAAGAAAAAGATAAAGTGATGAGGAATTCAGAAGGTTACGATTTGAGAGAACACAAAGAATGAACGCACCAGCGCCATTGCAAACGGTTAAGAGCCATGTCATTCAAGGTCTCTAACCATCGATTATTACCATCCCGCGGACCCCGACCAGTTAGTCGACAACTACCGACATGACTTAGTCTACTTGTCAGTGACTTGATAGATTTCTGCCCTTAGCTTCCTTTCAATCTATTCCTACACCACAAAAAATAGCTCAACGAGGCAGTCGGTGGTTAGGCATACGCAACACATGTCCCAACCACCTCAACTGATGAAGTTTCAATACTTCATCTATTGACTTGCCATCCTTATCTAGCACCCGTTTGAATGTAAACACAGGTAGTAGTGAATAGTCTACACTAGTGCAGAAAAAAATCGGTGGAACTAAAAATGTTGTTCCACGTGAATTGAAATAAAAACTAAATTAACAATTACACAGATAATAGTCATCGGTTTTTTATTCGTTCATAATATTAGAATTTATGGTGCAGCGACAAAAAAAATCATACTACTTGACTGAATAAATAGTTGGAGATATTTAATCGTGTATCATTTTCGATGAGCATGCTTTTAACAATTCTATATCGAAAATAATAACCCGTAGTTTTAGCTGAATTGACTTCAGACTAACAATGTTACCAAACTTTCAGAGTGCTAAAACAACAATCAATTGTCAAAATCAAATTAGTAGGAATTGTAATGTACAGTCGTACAGTAAATTTTTATGATGATACGATTAACAATGAGAAAGCGAATGAACTAATAAACTGATAAGAAAGTAACAATTAAGCGCTTACATTTAACAAACCTGTACATGGTTTCTTTACACTTTTTGGAGTAAGCAGAGTTGACTTATTTGCATTAAAAACTCTTTTTGTACTATTTCCAACTTTACTAATGGAAGTAGAAAGATTCTCTGGATTTCTAAAAATAGAGAATGGTAATGGAAAAATAATAAGAAGAATTCTTACTGAAATATTATACTACGAACTAGTTTCAGTTAATAATATGAAATAAAAATATTCGCAATAAAATTCAAGATAGTGAGGTATTTCTGTTTTGTAACAGTCATTATAATTAGCTTATTATTTAGCGAAGATGACTATGCGGCGAAAAGGTAGTAACAGTTGACCTAGTCAAAAACTTGTATTCTTAAACATGTTTCTAATTAACCATTTGTATATATTCTCATGATATTTAAGAAAAAATATATTTCATTTGATGTATATATACGCATGCAGTTGTTGGTTTCTTTTGTTTAATTTTGTAATGGAAACTTGTTGAAATATTCTGTGCTGAAAAATCTACATTGTACTAAAACACATAATACTGAATAAAGTAAATATTGTCATTAATGCTATCTGATTATTTAAATACTGAGTATAAAAATGGAATAGTAATTAAATTTGATACAATGGTGGAGAAAACTTGTAGCTTAGGTGGATGATTGTGAACCAAACACTACCACCACCACAAATTTGAAGCATGAAATACTCATAATATTGAGCTACATATATGGAGATAATTTGCACAATTTCAAACTTCTCATATTATACCTTTGAAATACTAAAAGTTAGCCAAATATGACAAAGTTGTAAACCAGTAAGTTTAATTACTAAAATCTTATTAATTTTTTGTTTAGACTTTGTATATCAGTTGAAACAAGGGGGTTTTGGTTTTTACGACACTACATTAAAAAAATACGGATAAAAAAAGTGATCAAAGTTCCAATAATCGGGAATATGAAAATATAGCATGAAATGTAATACAATATATCAGTCAACAAGTTAATATACTCATAGAGAGAATTGATAAACATGAATGAAATATTAATATGAACTAACTGATTTTCTTTTCCTATTCCACACTGATGTTCATAATAATCCAAATAATCAAGAATTGATAATCCATGAACCTTCATCTCAGGATAATTCACAGAGATCTCTTTTAAGATAGAATAATGACGACTGAGATCACGCTTTAATTGATTAATTTCTTTATTGATAACCAATAGGATTCCGCCTCGATTTTTTAAAACTGAAGGATCTTTCATTTTTTGCTTTTGAAAATAACAGAATAAATGTTATCAATGTTTAGAAATATTAATATATATTTATGAGTTACAATGATTAATCAGTAGTCTGAAGTTAAAGGTTTGATGATTTTTAAGAGTTTTCATGGATTATAAATATCAACCAATAAAGCAATAAAACTAGGAATACCAAAAGTGTCTTTCCATCAACTCTTATGAATACGGTATTCAGCAATAGTTGTTGGTTATGCAGTTTTTCCGTCGATATTTTCGATATGAAAATGTGAACGAAGCAGGAATAATGGGATACGACATAAAACTATTAGGTCCCTTGTTCGAACATCATTCAGTCTTCATTAGTTTCAGCGGCTGAGTAGTATGATTAGCTCCAATAGAGTGTAGCTCCTACGCAAGTACCTGGCAACTTGGTTAATTCATCGTATTTTTGTGTGCCTAAGTAAAGCTTTCATTAAATTAGATAGGTCGAAAAACTATGCTACGAAGATATCGATGGTCAAACGTCTGTTTATTGCTTACATTAATACATATATTAAGTTCAACTACCCATGAAACGACAAAATTCTTGTCGCGAAACGAACAACACATCAAAAACTAACTAATGCCAAGTAAAATTTTAATAAGAACACCTAGCAAAACTGGATTAACCAGAAAGATATATAAAAAGATCAATATCAGCACAAGTATTCTTATTACTACATTTAGTCTGTACTATTCATTCAGAAATATTATAACTATTATTTTAACTATTGGATTTTCACTTATGGCATCAATCACTTGAAACCTTGTCCATATTACACATAGCACCTGCTTAGGGCCTCGATTTAAACCAGATTTGTGAAATCACGTGCTAAGTAGCTTGCGCTAAAACATGTTTATGACAAACTAGAATAACTGTGAGTACGGAGAATAAAATCCAAAAAAAAACATTCACCTTTAGAAGTTGAGAAGCTTAGAGAGGTACAATAGTTGTATATAAATTTAAAGATAAGCATTTCAAGGTTACAAGAGAAAAATTACAAACTAGAAAACACTAAATATTCACTTCAGACATTCGAAGACGCGATAATGTACACTGCCACGTTTCAACCGCCTTGAAAAGTGGTTCATTATCCAGATAAAATGATTTCCATTTTGCTACCTAAAAGTTAGTTTTAACATTTATAAAATTTACTTCAGATTCGAGGGATATAAGTAATGCTTCGTTCAATTCTTGATTTTCAGAAACTAAATGCAACTGGCGGTCTTCTTCACCAACGAAGCAGTTTCCCCACCATACTACCAATTCGGCTTGACACTTAGAAATAACAGACGCCAAACTTTTTAGTTGCAAATTTTTTAGACGATTTAGTTCTTCTTTTAACTGTAAGAAAACAAACATTTAGAGAAAGTTAAATACACTTTTTATATTCAATACATTTTAAAAGTAACATGATTTAAACAGAACTAGATGTACTGGTTTTTTGATAGCATGCTACCTAATGAACTACACCCCAAGAAGAATAAGAGATTGCAATTAGGATTAAAGTGCTGTTGAAATTGTTTGATCGGATTTTTGTGTACGGACGGGATAAATGGTGAACTAACCTACTATTGATTACCAACCTCCATGGGATTGTATCTCATTACGTTTCTCCAGTGCCTTGTGGATCAGACTTGCGGATCAAAGGCTCGGGGTGTGGCCCCTTAAGTAAACCATTTGCTTCGGTTTAGGTGCCCGGGCAGTATACCAGACCACACAGAAATCTAAATATATGTGGTGCGTAAACATATGGGTGTCCGTTTGTGCCAATAATTGTCTCAATAAATAAGTGATAAATAGCATTTAATATGGTATAGTCTATGGGGCAAAATAATTAACAACAATGGTGATATTGGCCAAGGACATTTGCACTGATTACATATGAACCTAAAACTTTGGGCTTTTACATCAATGTTGTCAGTTAATTTTGAATACCAAGGCTTTGACGGAAAACAAACGCACTAACTGGTATCTACATGTAGTTCCAGAATTCATTTGGGTAAATTTATTCGGATGAACACTGAACTCAAACAAAACAAGGGTTATCAAGATATGAATTATCAAGTTCAGCCATAAATTACAAAGGTAGCTGAGCATGCAGGTTATTTTCGCTTTAGGTCTGAGAACTTGGAAGTGCAGAGGCAAATACTTAATAGGGAACTTGATTAGTAATGACATGACCACAACCAAATAAAAACATGAGTTAACCTTACATAGTATAAGAAGCGAGCAGATACTGGTTGTTGAGTATTCACAGCATTGTCGATGTCAATATTAAGACGACCTTCTATATGTAAGATTTCTTTTATGATTCTCTGACATTCGTCATCTAGCTTGACAAACTCCTGCGCCAAACTGTTTCTTAATTTTGTAACATGGTCGAGAAAAGTTTGTGATAGAGATATATTTTCCATTGGATTAGGAGCAGTGATCAGAGTCATTATTTCCTCGTCATCGGTAGTTTCTTGTTGCAGGATATCTTTCAGATTTCTAATTTCTTGGATCAATTTAGACAAGCGGAGAGAACGGGAACGCTAATAAATTATGTCAAATAAAAATGAATTACTTTTTCTATAGTTAGATGATCAATGTTTTCTTTTAAGATTCCTATTTGTTCAGGATTTGGGACGTGTATGAATGTCTCAGGGACAGGAGGTTCATCAAGTCGCAGGCATAAATCCTTTTCTTCCTGCTTAAGTGATTTATACCTCTGAAGGATTGCGGAGGACTTTTCGGTGAGCGATTTAAAATAATCGTAAAACAGTTTCTCAGTCATTACAAGCGATGATGTTTCTGAAATATTGTTGGTCACTCCTAGTTCCGATTCATACTCTTTTATCTTAGCCTATGTAAGATCATTAGAGTTAATACAGCACCAATGAACCTTTAATACTCTGATTGAGTCAATGATAGTCTGCTTCGCTAAGATTTCTTCACTATACATTCCATCCAACATTGCAAACAAATGGGAAGACAAGGAATGAATTCGCAGCTGCAAATTTTCTCCTTCTAGACCCATCGCATCCCAAATCTCAGCTAACATGGTCAGCCTCTGGGATACTTGGTCTAAAACATTGGTGATCCAAGGAGACGACATTGAAAGCCCGCCAAATCACAAAATACCCAGTTGTAGTTAGAAAAAATAAACTGACCAGAGTGCATTGTACAAACCTTGAAAGTGTTTAGATAATCTACAAGCCCTAACTCACACTCTTTACGAGTTGAAAAACGGAAATACATCATAAAAATAGGTGGTACTGGTATGTTGGCAGAAATAACCAGCCATTTGTACTGGGAGATTTGAGTTTTCCTAGAACTAGTTTTCTGGCTACAAGTAGGTAACGCTATTATTTATACCTCCGAAAACTAAATGAATTGGAATCTTTCATCTGAGATATCCCTTCTTCACGACGTGATAACGAGTGAATACCAGAAGGTAACTGGTTTGTTGACGTGTTCTCAGTCAACCACAACTCCAGCCTCTACAGTCTAACCATTAGCAAGCGCATCAAGGTTGTGAAACCATTCGTCTTGTTTAATTGTACTAAAATCACTTACTTACGCGAGACTTTTCTGGCATTGCTGCCGTCATTCATAACTTGCCACCCGTTGTATCGACCACTTTCTCCTTCATATATATTCTTTACCCTGGATTTACTTCTGACCAACGTGACGGGTTAGTAAAAAGTACTTAATGGTGATCATAGTCAATCTCGACTGAAAATCTCACCACTAAAATTGGTGAGCTCGACGTGATTATTCAAGGAAGTCAATTACGGTGAGTCTACTATTAATAATGTCTCCTAATATATATTATAATAGCAACAACGATGGACAGGTATAATAATAGACTCCGAGGTGCAGGTCATTGCATTTTCGCCCTTCCCATACCCGTCACTTCATGTTGTTAGTTTTTTTTGTGCACGATTTTTGCACCAACGCTAGGTACCTGGTGGTTACAAGTGCCCAAGTTTCTGTCGTATCTTTTGGTAGCAGCAAATCACAAGTTACGATGCTTCGACCCCTCGCGGGGAATGGCTCTGTCATTCTCACTTACGATACACGACAGCTAACGATCAAACTGAATGATCGACGACAGTATCTATGGACGTTCATCCCTGTTGATGTTCCCATGGTCTTACTCAGCATCTATTCCCTACAGCTCTATGAATCGCTATTCGATTCACGTAGGCTGCAGTTAATCGATACTCCGTCGAATATCAGATCCATGGATTTTAACACGCAAACAATTATGTACCGAACTACTAATATATATTTTGCATTATTAATTATTTCATGTTATATTTGATAGATTCCTCAAAGTAACTAAACCAAGGAGATTCTATCGGTGATTAATTATGTAGTAAGCCACATCATCACCTGCAGACCCCTAATCACGGCAAAATCTCGCCGAATGGCACTAGACAATTCAGTTTTCTCTAAGCATGAGTTCAACAATTCACGCGCTATATGTATAACTTCGTCTTTCTCACAGTCTGAGACTCCTCTCTCCATTCGGTTCGCAAAAAAAGATGGCATTAACTGGAGATCACACGGTGATTGCAGAGCAGCAACGGCAGATACCCAATGTTCCGCCCCTGAACTTGTGTATGGCACGACATTGCATCTACCTGGGGAATTTTTTCACACAATAGAGCAGCGACTTTATGTATATCAGATAAGGTCCAACGAACACTGTGAACACTGCCTCCGGTGTGGACTCACATTTAACCTCGATTGGTCGCTCATCCTCGAGAGTTATTTAACTGTCCATATGTTTTCACAATAATTGATTCGGTACGTAAACCTTTGCAAAAGCCTTACGAAGGATCTTTTCACAAGATCTCACGTCACGAAAAAACTTTCAAGGTTGATGGACACAGTCAGAATTGATCGTTTTAAACTAGCACACTTCAATGACATTGCCCTACCCGAAAAATCGAGATTCATTGCTGGACTCGTCCAACTCACTAGCGGGATCCCCATTTTTCTCTCGGATCCCACGCCAGATGCATCAGAGACCTCATTCTCACGTCGCAGTCAACAGGACGCTTCATCTGCACTATCTACGGATGAGACTCCGGTCTCACGTCCAGTTCGGCAGACTAAGCTGCTCTTGACTTTGAATGAGATTGCAGGCTCACGAGCTATGCACAGGACTATCGTCTCTCGTTCCGATAGCCTCGTACGCCTACCTGTATACTTTCGCGACTAATATCCAATCAAGAACGGATAAGGCATAGGACATTATCCTTATGCTAAATGCACACTGCACCCTTCCCTTTCTTTAATTTTTTTTATATCCTGAGCCCACGCCTCTGACCATCAATCTGTTGGTAACGTCGACATCAGTCAATTTTGGCGAAAGGTGGCCTGATCACCCACGTCCTTGTCAATGCGCACAGTCGATGTTCTGGTTCCGAACGTATCTGGTATACGTATGGTTTCGAACATAATCGTTCTAGGCGTTTCTGGCCCACTCGCTCAGTCCGGTTTCATCCTACGTCTGGTCCGAACCCCTGCGAACGCAATATTCAGACTCTGGATACGAGCCACGCTGGTGTGGAACGCCAACTCGAGCAGCAAACTTGGCTCATACTTCTGGTACAGTTCGTCGCAGAAGACTTTCGGGACAACTCGAAATTCATTGGTCGCTTTCTGTTCGTCAACCCTTCAGCACTAAAATCGCACGTTGGTCGACTAGCCCCACCCCTGAACGAAGCCCCTACGTATCGAAAGTGTGAACCCTTTCTAGGGGGCGCTAATGTAGTGGATCACTTCTACGAAGGAAACGTAATCAATGAAAACAAAACATTTATCATTGTAGTCATCTTGTGTAACTGTTGTAACGGTCTGCCTACTGTTATAACGCTTGCCTAGATAATTTCCGGCTAAATCCTATTGCTTAGCATTCTCTGATACAAAACACTGGACAAGTTCCAAAAAATCAAAACACGGTTGAACAGGAAAGATTATATTCCAAAATAGCAAGTAAATAAGAAGCCAGAGGTGATGGCAAAGGCAAAGAAGGCACAAGGCCAGAAGGCAAAAATAAATACAACGCTAGTCTATTTATAGCCTTTACATGAGAAAGCTTATGGAAGAAAATTCACGTGATCGACTGGATTAGATTTAACCAATCAGCATGCAGCTAATAATACGAGAATTTTCTATCCTGTTCTCCAAGCTTCGATCAGGCGCTGATTGGATAGTAAATTAGCCAATCAGCGCGCAGCAACGTAGTCGTGCTTTCACTCCATCTATGTCCCACTAACAGTAACTGTATTAAAAAAAACACTTACTAACGCGCGAGCTCCTTTTTCGCGTTGCTGTCACCATTCATAACTTGCCGCTCACCGTGTCACCCTCTTTCTCCATCAAACATATTCTTTACCCTGGATTTATTCCTGCTAATCGTGACGGGATACTAGTTAGTATTTAGTAGTAATCATAATCAATCTCGACATGGTCACCACTAAAAAACGTTCCAATATAAGACCCCTGACAATCCGTAGGATATCACGCCCTCTATTCCACCCTAAGAAATGCAAATATCGGATGGTTTTTGTGAAAATTCAGACTGTCACAAATTTAATTGTACATAAGACACTTTTCCTCAAAAAAGGAAAAAAAACAGGAGCAAGGATTGCGATGCAATAAATAGAAAGTGGAATAGAGGAGGTTTACTTGCGTACTAACTTTATGAAACTTTTTATGGATTATAGGCCGCCAACCAGCATTCTCTAACATACTCATAATGTGGAAGTTCTGTGTCCATTTTCTTCGGAGGAACTGAAGTACCGCGGGTCAACTAAACTACTGGGTGCAACAAATGAATGAACCCAAATAATAAAGATAATGTATGTGATTTTGCGTACCTTACCTTGACAAGCCGTGTTAGCTCAAGTTAGAAACAAAACGTCGGATGGAAAGGGTGTCATGTGCCTACATTTTATGAATTCACTTGGGAATATAGACTGAACCATCAGTTCAAATCTATTCATGATCTTTATAAATGAACAAAACGTATAAAATAAGGTCACTTGTTTGAGAGACGTTCGATAAAAAAACAAGCGTTCAGAAGTACACAACACTCATAGAAATGCTCAAGGTAGACTGTGAAAAGTTAACGCGATCAGATTTATGAGTGACAGAATATCTGGAAAACGGAATAACTTACTTTCGTTTCACTAGAAGTTTGTAATAATTGCCATAGATGTCGGCAATTTGTTCAGTTCAGTTTTTCGTCCTTTACATCATAAATGTGACTATCATTTTCAGAAAAAATTTCTATTTCAGAATTAAATACATACGACCAGGAAGATAATAACTTTAATCCGTCCTATGGAGCAGTAGTTTTTCCCCACACTTTTTCAGCATTTTGTCAGAATTTATCCAAACTTGACCGCTTGGATTTTGCGCTAAGTTCATTTCATGATGTCAATCTATCATTTGTTCTCCTCAAAGTAAGGTACTTTTTTCTATTCGGATTTGAAACTTATTATAATTTCAAATCAAACAAACTTAGTAATCAATTCCAGATAATTTATTCACCAGAAGCCTGACACTAAGTGAAAGACCATTCTAATGGTTTTCCGCTGAGTCTTATTTCAAGACAAACAAGACTGATGTAATACACTATACGCTAACTCACAGCAACCGGTAAGTTATCCGGGATACTGTCAAATATCTAAAGGTTATACATTGTACATTAGCCCGCCATTTTGGATTTAGGACGCAAACTTATTCTGGAAGGGTTCCGTCAGGGTTGTTTTAAGACAAACTTATCTGCATGGTGTTGTATATTTAAGTCAAAAAGGTTGCTAAGCAGATAAGATTTTTCAAAGGTCGTTATACATATGACCTCCAAGAGGTTACCCGCGGACACTTGTGGTAGGCCGTTTTACAAAATAGTGGTTGTGGGTGATGGAGGTGTTGGAAAGTCTGCACTAACAATCCAGGTAAAAAGTTCGACCTTATGTCATGTCGTTTAGTACTTCCAACGAATGTTTCTCGAAGAACACGATCCTACTATTGAGGACTCATACATCCAGAATGATGAGATCGATAATGAGTGGTGTATATTGGATGGTAAGTTCCTGAATTGTTACTTTTCATATATATGAAATAATAACTAATTTCCCTTCCGCTTGATTGCTCTTTAACATAAAACACTCGTAGATGGTCCTGTTCGGCAGAATACTTGGTTCCAGAATCAATACTCCCTATAACACTTGGAATGAGATTGACAATATGCAGTAGTGATTCTTTTTGGTGCTGTGAATTTTTAAAAATATTCGTGCTACTCTATGTCTAAACACTAATTACTACACTTCCAGTTCCTAATAAAGATAATTCCCAGATACCAACTGTACTATATTCATGCGCATGTAGCTTAAGCAGAATACGTTAATCTATCAGTACATCGGTCAAAGTTTACAGGCCTCCGCAAGTACCTCCATTTATTAAACAGCCTCTGTACTTTAGGTAAGATGTAGTCATAACCAATTAACATGTAAAATAACGAGCGTTTATGACTAGATTGGTTGACATGCTTTACAAATTTAGTAGCGGCTCCATACAGCACATTTCTGATCAAAACTAGAGATTAGGTTGCAGGAATGGGCGGTCAGTTTATGACAGCGTTATTGTATGAAAGTTAACTGTGTGATGTGCAACTGTTGGTCCGTTAAGACTCCGTGGTCAGTGCTTTAGTTTCCATGGGACGCAATACCTCGAGACATTTCCAGAGGTTGCTCAAAATGAAATATAGTGGCAATCCAGCTGTAGCTCCCAATTACAGTTAGTCGAATTCCCTTCTCCACACTGAGTATTTTTGTCCACTTATTAGTTAGTATGCCATTTTCATTTTCAATTTTTCAATACCATATTTTTATTACTTGACCATCCGATCCTCTATAGTATTATATCTAGGTGTTATAAATTAAAATGATCGGCAAACCGTCATAAAAAATAAACCGATCATTAAATGTAAATTAACTTATCAAGAGACTTAGACGTAAAGCGGTTCGTACCTAGTAAATCTCACGTAAAAGAGTGAAACAGTATTTTGTCTCTTGGTTAGGCAACTGAAGTAATATAAAAAGCACCTGAAGAGACCGTTAAGTTTCCGTTCGGCAGTTTACTGTTTATCGGCAATGTGGATGAGATATTGGCACCTAATAATTTTCAAGGTAATAAACATGTAGCTAACCTAAAATGACGAAAACCAGAAACGATCGAAGTTCTTAAGAAGGTTAAATTTTCTGAGTTGTTAGGTGACATGGTGTAAAATCAGTTGTATTGCCGAAATTTACTCCTTAGAATGATGTATTCTTTTCTTAACTGAACTTAAATGTTAGTTCGAATAAGGAAATTGAATGTTTATGCAGACAGATCTCTACAATCGTCAGGAGTCAGCTTGATTGAAGCGTTCTTTTGAATCCTAGCCATTATGATCATTTTAGGCTTGATTACCGTTCACTCATCATCAGACCATGTAAGGCACAGAAGTTATCCTAGTCAGTAAAGATCGTCGCAAAACGCCTTGTATTCTGAAAGCGATGAGTGTAATGCTTAGAGCCATGTAATACACTTTTATCCCTCTAAACGAAAACTTCCCCTGAACTTGTCTGAATCAAAACTATGGTGGTAAAATGAAGAGACGTAGCTGCTGATTGAATATTTACTTAAAAATAGTAGTAATAATCGCTCTAATAAAGGTCTCATAAGCTTTAGCAGGTCACTGTCTAATAAAATGCCCTAGTTCGTACAAGAAATTCGTTTATACACCTAGTTTAGGTGTAATGTTTACCTGCGACTGTAGCACATATCTTCGCTACTCTGCAGACATAAACCGTAAAAAGAAGACGAGTAGAGTCAGCTCAAACGCAGGCTGATAAAAATTCTGCGCAATAATCACGAACAGTGATGGGTAGCGAAAGTAATAGAGATGGAATAGGCAGCGGCGATAGGCAACAGTAAACAACCGTTCCGACTTATCAAGGAAACCGGTTTTAGAAATCCATCTGTTAGAGAAAATGATGGGATTATTGTTCATTCTCAATTAATGGGAGTGGATTGATGAGCAGAACATTTTAAGTGCGATTCAACTGGCCTTCAGCTGCACTTCTGTTACCCACGATTTCCAGTCAACCTGAATAGCAAGTCGATATAAATCCCCCAACTCTTAATGAAGTTGAAAAAACTAGAGGAAATCTAAGAGAGAGCAACAGTAACCGACAGGCTTACCCCTCAGATTTTTCAGGATGGTAGTCAGGGTGTAGCAGTTAGATTGACTGAGGTCTTAAGTAGAATCTGGGAACCGGCCGTAATCCTATCTGACTGTTTTCAGTCGCTGATTGTCCCAATTTATAAGAAAGGACGAAAGTCCTCTTGTGACAATCACAGGAATCAGTTCAACTAATATACTGTCTAAAATGTTAGCCTCAATAATATTTCGACGCCTAACTAGGGCTTTTGAAGAGCAGACTAAAGAAAACCAGGCTGGTTTCAGACCTGGACGTGGCTATATCGACCAAATATTCATGCTTCTACATGTCTTAGAACACTGACACATCTCGGTGTCCAACAATATCTGTATTCCTCGACCTTAAAGCGGCATTCGTCTCTGTCGATCGTGAGGTTTTGCTACAGTGTCTGTCGTTGAAAGGAGTGCCATAGAAGTACACTAATTTTATACAAGCTCTCTATTCGAACGCCACTGCTCTAGTGAGAGCATATGGAGAACTGTCATCGGAACTGATTACTTCAAATGGTGTTCACCAGGGTTGTTCACCTTCTCCATTCTTGTTTAACTTAGTGATTGACGTTCTTTTAGATGCAACACTTTCATCATCTAACTTCAGGAATTGATCTACCAGGAGATTCGCTTGTTGACTTAGAGTATAGCGACGACATTGTTCTATAGTAAGCAATCCTGTCGTTATGAAAAGAGTACTTAAGTTTAGGATGGCAAATCAATAAATGTAGTATTGGAATTTCATTAGTTAAGGTGGCTGGGACATGTCTTACGTATGCCCAACCTCCGACCTCCTCGACGAGCTATGTTTTGTGATGTAGGGGTAGGTTGGAAGAAAGCTAAAGGCGAGCAGAGTCTTACCTCTCTCCAATCGACCTGCCTGGCATAGTAGGACCTGAAGGAACTCATGTTTCAGACAATATCGCTTGGTTAGATCATCGCGATAGGCAGGCTCAACCACAACGTCAAGGTAGCAGCTACAGTCGGGACACAATATAATATTTATAAGATATTAATGGTAATTATGTGCAGAATGATAACTACAAGAATGAAGAGATACAACCTAGGGGTACTTGGAATCAACTAAACACGTTAGTCGCAGGTTGGACGAAAAACACTAGCTTCTGAAGAGATGCTGTTATGCTCCGGCTACACATACAATGGATGGAAATCTCATGGACCCAGGATCATAAAAGCATCGTCCAAGACTGAAAAAGAGGGGATTACATTGAATATCATTCAATGTTATGCGTCTACCAACGACGATACTAAAGTCAATTACATGAGAGGCTGCAGTCGATCGCTGAGAAATGCCCAACAAAGGACTTGATCATTCTGATGATAGACCTACACCTCAAAGTTGTAATGAACAAGCCCGGATACGAAGACATCATGGTACGACATGTATTGGGATAAATGAACGAAAACGGTGAGAGATTCGCAAACTTATATGCCTGCAACAAACTGGTCATATGCGGCCTCATATTCCTACATAAACGCATACACAAAGTCACATTGATTTCACCGGGTCACACTACACAGAACCAAACCGACCACATTTGCATCAATAAAGATTTCAGAAGGACCGTGGAAGACGTGAAAACCAAGAGATGATCTGATACAGCTTCAGATCGTCACTTGATAGTAGCCAACTTGAAACTGAAACTCAGGGCGCACTGGTCAACTGGTTAAACAGCATCACAGAAGTTTACTACGGCTTTTCTTCCGAATAATAGCTAACGCCAAGATTTTGAGATAGCGTTCAGCAATAGTTTCCAAGCCTTTCACGATCTACTCGATAAAGAGGAAACTTCCATGGTGAACAACTAGAAAGGGATCCAGATAGCAGTAACTTCAGCATGGCAGGTTTTCTGCCACAAGAAGCACCATCACAAGAAATGGATCTCTGTTCATACTCTGGGTAAGGTTTGAGAATCAGCGGAACAAGAGCAAAGGAAGCCAAGGTACAAGCTGAATACATTGAAGCGAACAAGGAAATAAAGAGGGGTATTGGAGTTGATGAACGGAAATATGTGGAAGACCTACCAACAATAGCAGAAAAAGCTGCAAGAGAAGGAAACATGAAAAATCCTTATGATACAATGAAAAAGCTTGCTGGAAATCATCGTAAACCAGAACAACCAGTGAAAAACAAAGAAGGCAAATCAGTCATTAACATTAAGGAACAGTGAGACGATTCGGTAGAGCACTTTGAAAAACTCGAATCGATCAGCCCCACTGAACCCACCTAATAACGAGGCAGCACCCACGGACTTCCCAATCAGTGGTGTGTCTGAGAAGATGGTCAACATCATACAGACTTCTAACGACGGACTACACTGCGAAATCGTGCATGGAGGACAGCTCACAGACTTGTTCTAAGTGAAGACCGGTGTCAGACTAGGTTGCTTAATGTTACCCTTCCTCTTTCTTCTGGTGGTCGCCCGGATTGTGAAGACGTCAACATCTAAGGGGAAGTACAAGATCCTGTAGGTGATGATAGACGGTGTAGCAGCAGCCTTTGCAGCAGTAGGTTTCAACATACACAAAGAGAAAAGCGAGGTCATCCAACAGAACACAGCATGCACCAACCGAATCTCACTTGACGGAGAAACTTTGGAAGAGGTAAAAACATTTATGTATCTGAAGAATATCATTGATGAACCAGGTGGATCTGATACAGATGTAAAGGTACAGATGGACGAAGCATGGGCAACATTTCTACAATTGGAGAACGTCTGGAACCCAAAACGACTGTCTGTCAACCAATGCCAAAGTCAGAATTTTCAATACAAATATTAGGAAAGTCCTACTATATCGGGCGGAAACTTGAAGAAGCCATCATCCCTAAGATACAGGTGTTTATTAACAGTTGTCTACGCAATACACTGAGGATCCGTTGGCCAGACACCATCAGCAACAACCTGTTGTGTGAGAGAACAAACCAGAATCCAACTAAGGAGGAAATTAAGAAAAGACGCTAGAGGTGGACAGGATGCACCTTGAGGGAATAATCCAACTGCGTCACAAAGCAAGCCCTCACTTGGAATCCTCAAGATCAGAGGAGAAGAGGAAGACCAAGTGGCACATTACGCTGAGAATCGGAAAAAGACGAAAGGAATGAGCATCAGTCGGATGAAACCGGAAAGGAAGGCCCAGGACAGAGTTAGTAGGAGAATGTTGAGTGGTCTATGCTCCACGAGGGGTAAAAGGCGTCAGTCAGTCAGTCAGTTGCAACGTAGAACTTCGTACGTATGTACATAAGTTCATGTTGCCATACCACATTATTAGCACAGAGACGCAAATGTCAAATCAAATCCCATAGAGATAAAGATGGTAGAGGTATTAGTGTTATAATAAAGAAGACTAGGGTTTAAGATATTATTCAAAAAATATAACTCAGTAAGATAAGGTTAGAAAGACAAAGGTAGAGGTGCTGGCTAATCCAGAAGATTAGGATTTGAGAGAGCTCAAAGAGTGGATGCACCTGCGCCATTGCAAACGATTTTGAGCCATGTCGTTCAAGGTCTCTAACCATTGATGACTTTCGTCTCGCGGACCCCAACCAGGTAGTCTACATCTACCAACATGACTCAGTCCACTTGTCAGTGACTTCATGGATTTGTGCCATGTTTTGGTCTGGCCACCCCTAACTTTCTTCCAACCTACTCCTACACCACAAAACATAGCTCGTCGAGGCAGTCGGTGGTTAGGCATACGCAACACGTGTCCCAACCACCTCAACTGATGAAGTTTCACCACTTCATCGATTGATCTGCCATCCTTACCTAGTACTCGTTTCCTAACGACAGCATTGCTTACTCGGCTGTCCCACGATATACGAGCAATGCTTCTTAAACATCTATGACCGAATACTAGTAACCTACGAACATCTTCTACTCTTAACGGCCATGTTTCACAGCCATATAGGAGAACGGAGCGAACCACTGCGCAGTACACTCGTCCTTTAGTCAGCAAACGGATATCTCGCCTACGCCATAAGTGACGCAGGTTGGCAAAAGCCAATCGAGCCTTCTGTATCCGTGCCGTGATTTCGTCAGTCACCAGGCCATCAGCACTGATGAGACTCCCAAGATAGGTGAAGCGGTCTACACGTTCGACCACTTCACTCCCTATCACTAGTTCAGGTGCCGATGACACCCAGTCTTGAAGCAACATTTTGCATTTCGAGGGGGAAAACCGCATCCCGAACATGCTCGCATTGTTGCTTATGGTAGTCAGAAGACTCTGCATTTTGTCAGCGTCTTCACCGAATAGAACTATGTCATCGGCATATTCTAGATCATTAAGCGACTTTCCTGGTAGAAGGTCAACCCCTTAATGTTAACTCTAAGAGGATGTCCACGACAAAGTTGAACAAGAATGGAGAGAGTGGACAGCCCTGACGGACACCACTTGATGTAGAGAATTCAGATGACAGTTCGCCATATGCTCTCACCCGACCAGTGGTGTTCGAGTAGAGTGCTTGTATAAGGTTAATGTACTTCTTTGGTACACCTTTCAATGACAGACACTGCCACAGAACCTCACGATCCACTGAGTCAAATGCCGCCTTAAGGTCCAGGAACACGACTATTGTCGGACGTCTAAATGTGTGTCTGTGTTCCAGGACCTGTCGTAGTGTGAAGATGTGGTCTATACAACCACGTCCAGGTCGAAAACCAGCCTGGTTTTCTCGAGTCTGCTCTTCACGAGCTCTAGTTAGACGTCTAAGTATAATCGAGGCTAACAATTTAGAAACTATATTAGTTAAACTTATTCCCCTGTGATTGTCACAAGAGGACTTCTGTCCTTTCTTGTAGATTGGGACAATTAGCGACTGAGACCAGTCAGATGGGATTACGTCCATTTCCCAGATTCTACCTAGGATCTCGGTCAGTTTAACCGTTAAAACTGGACCACCATCCTTAAACATCTCAGGGGTAAGCCTATTGGGACCTGCCGCTCTACCTCTCCTTAGATTTCCTATAGCTTTCTCAACTTCATGTAAACTGGGAGGACTTAAATCGATTTGCCATTCAGGATGACTGGAGATCGTGGGCAACCGAAGAGTGGCTGAAGGCCAGTTGAACTGATCCCTAAAGTGTTCTGCCCATCGGTCCAGCCTCCTAGATTGAGAATGGATAATAAGACCATCCTTTTCCGAGATAGTCTCACTTACATTCGGGTTCCTAATGCCGGTTTCTTTGATAAGGCGGAAAAGTTGTCTAGTGTTGCCTATCGCCGCTGCCTTTTCCATCGCTTTTGCTTTCGCCACCCACCACTGTTCACGGTCGTTACGTAGGCTTTTTATAAGTCTGCACCTAAGCTGACTACGCTCTTCATCATGTTCAGAGTCAGGTTGGATGCGTTTTCGAGCATCCATCATTTCGGTGGATGTGACTGAAATCCACTGCTTCATCCTAGCATTGTGGTTTACCTTGCTAGCAGATACCATTGCTGTTTCCACAGCCTTCTTGATATGATTCCAACCTGCTTCAGGATGGGAATCACTTGCATGGCCGCCTAACCGTTTTTCTAGTTCCTCCTGAAATATTTTCTTAGCTTGATTATCATCAAGTAAAGCCCTAAGAGGCTTCCTTACGGTGTCTTTCCTACGTCCAGCAAGCCTCAAACAAATACGTGCTCGTACTAGGGCATGATCTGAATCTAAACATGTGCCCCAGAACGAGCGACAGTCCTCTATCGAACCCCTCCATCGGTGGCTGATGGCGATATGATCTAGTTGTGTCCAACGTTGAGACGACTTCGGGGGTCGCCAGGTCAAAAGGTGTTTTTCCTTATGCTTAAAATTAGTGTTTGCTAGAAATAGTTGGTTATCTGAGCACAGTTGCAACAGACGGTCGCCGTTGTCTGTTCTTTGAGCCACGAGACCGTAACATCCACCTAGGTGTCTTTCATTTTCACTCAGTCTACCTACTTGTGCATTGAAGTCACCAGCCATTATAACTATATCAGAGCGCTTAACTTTTTGGAGGAGGTCCGAAAGCTTTCTGTAAAACTCATCTTTTACATCATCTGGGCTGCAGTCAGTGGGGGCGTAGGCTGATATGACGAAGAGGCAACGGCGAGTGTCCCTATCTTTCCGAGTCCTTACTGTCCCGTTCAGTCGGACGGCGCACAAGCGACTATCTACAGGGATCCAGTCAAGGAGAGATTGTTCTGCCCTACGACTCAATGCTATACCTACACCGGCGAGGCCCCTAGAAGCAGCATCAGGGCTACCGGATACACGAAGGGTAAATCGAGCTGCTTCTTTATCTTGACATGGTGAGGTCAAATGAGTGATGCTACTCGGATCCTGTATGCGCGTTTCCGAGACGCAGCACACATCGATGGAACGAGATTCTAAAGTCCTAGCTAATGATGCCTGTTGCCCTATTTGACACAATGTCCGTACATTGAATGCTCCAACATATAGTTTGGAACGGGGTTTAAGGAGACCAGGAACGACGTTTCGCAAACTCGCATCGTTTGTATTAGCTGTGCACTGTAATAAATGAATGTGAGAAGAGTTAGTTGTGGAGATAAGAGAGGTATTATGGAACGTAGGAAGGAATTGATTTTGAACAATTTTGTCTCGTGTGCTGTTGCGGGTATGAGGGCGGTTATCACTTCCCGGCTGCCCACACCGTGGAAGGTTGTTTCTTGACGAACCTGAAAAGGAAGATAGATTAGTGTTGGTGCGTGACCGCAGAGTCCAAGGGACAACTGCTTCAGGCCGGTCACGCACGGCCTTTTTATGAGAGGTATTTAGAGGATTAGCTCCGTTCTTAAAGGCCCTTAGTGGGCACCCTTGCCCAAGGAGACGGAAATCCGTGAGGTAGGGGAGGTGTGACATTTTTAGGGCCGACCTTTTCTAACCCTTCCTTCCTTGTGAGAAGGCAGCATCGCTGCAGATGTTGGTTGTCCGAGGGAAACACCTTACTGCTGTCACACCCCTCTGCAGTCAGCAGTACGACTTCGCCCTCAGACCTTGGGTAGCTGCTTTTAGTCTCATCGTTCTCCAATCGACCTGCCTGGCATGGTAGGACCTGCAGGAACATGTGTTCCAGCCAGTATAGCTCGGTTGGGTCATCACGATAGGCAAGCCCGACCACCACGTCAAGGTAGCAGCTTCGGTCGGGGGTAAAAGGCGTAAGTAAGTAATAAACAGAATGAAATCGGCTCATGAATTTAACGGTTACTGATTGAACTAATGGAATGTAGATTTCATGTTTGAACGTTTATTAGCTATTAACCATAACTTAAGGTTGAAAACCTTACCATAAATGGTTAAACCTCGAATTCATGGTTACACCTGCAGATTTGCTATATCTTATTATTCTGTATCTTTTGGTTTTTCGTTTTATTCATTTATTTTCCTTATTTATTTCAATACTTTCACTTTATTTCAACTGTTAACTTCCTTTCAACATACTGGTGGAAAATGTGGTAACATGAGCTAATGCGAATACACCTAGTACCCTTCCTTATCGACATCTTCACTAGTGCTAGTTGATCTTATTGACTCTACCCTTTTGATTTTAGTCGTTGGCTAGATATTTAACGTACATTCGGAAACGATTGATTGTTTGGAATTTAGTGTAAATAATACCTTTCTAACCATCAATAAATTAAGTCTCAGTGCAGATTTATTTATAAGATCTTGGTCTCACTTAAAAATGACACAAACCGATAAATGTTGCCAACATTTTCCCTGTTTGTTTCCAGTTCTAGATACCGCGGGACAGGAAGAGTTTAGTGCAATGCGAGAGCAGTATATGCGTAAAGGTCAAGGATTTATTATTGTGTACTCAGTGACAGATCCTCAGAGTTTTCATGAAGTTCGACGATTCTACACGCAAATTTTGCGATGTAAAGACTGTGATTCTTATCCTATGATATTGGCTGCAAATAAGATTGATTTGGTTCAACAACGCAAAGTTTCAGAAGAGGAGGGTCAACGTCTAGCAGATGATCTTAAAGCAAGTATTTTTTTTAAACTTTATCCCTATGCTAATCATTGTTAATTATGTACAGTCGTTCAACTGTGGCATTATTTTGTCTGATTGCATGTTCGATATAGATTTCTGCACAGTAACTGAATTAATAAATACAAATAGATGTGAGAAAACCAATTAACTTATCCCTTAGTTGATAAACCACCACAGGTCAACTGGAGAACGATCTGCGAAGTATAGTTGCAAAAATATCCTCTTTACTGCTTTAGCGAATGTATATCGTAGTACATTAAATCAACTAAATAACAAAGAACCTGGTTTTGTCACATCCTTGTGTATCTATGACTCCAGGTGCTCATGTACAGAAAGCTATATCTGGCCTGCAACTCAGCAATTGAGTCAATGGGTTAGTGAACACTTCCCTTCTTAATTGGGAAAAGGTATGACCAAAGCAATAGGCATCTCTGTTCTATCGCACTGATGGTCTGCTGCTCAATTCCTTGTAATTTTTTGGTTCTACCGTGTATGTGAAAGTCCAAATTCTGTTAAGGTTGTTCGAATAAGATAAACAAACAGCAAAAATAAAAAATGCGTCCCAACTGTACAGCTAATCTATTTCATGATATTTCCTTTCAAAATATTTTGGGCTTTTAGTAGTCATTTAAATTCAGTCAGTCATTCAGTCAGTTGCAACGTAGAACTTCGTACGTATGTATCATATCAAGCTATTATTCCATACTTTTGTTGAGCTTTATAAATAATTTTTGAATTGTTATAAATGGCAAATATATACAATCCACGTTTACACTACCTAGCATAGAAATAGTTTTTTTTTTAAAAAGTTTACAAATGACCACATAAAGACATCCCATTAGTTATACAACGTCAGTGACTTAGTCTATCAAGTGATATTCACTTAACTGATTTTCATATCATGCCAGATTTCTGTGATAACATAACTTGATCAGCCAATGGTTAGTGCTTGAAACTAATGCAAACTTATCTTCTAGAATATTTCTTTTAATTTCAAATTATTCTACGATCACTGTGAATTAGGAGACAAGATTAAAGTTTCTCACCACCTATATCAAGTAATTATAAAGAATAGAATGTCATTTTTCTAGTCAATTTGACTATCGTAATTATAAAATGTTGATTACATTACTGGTAAATCGGTTATATGATTATTTTACTCCATGCTTGTAAAATTTACCCCAAGTATGTTCTCCATAAAACAGACATAGAAACTTATTTTTTGAATTATTTTTTCTTTAAGTTAGCGTCTTTTCAGTGAGTTAGTTTTCTACGGGATGGGGTTGCCAAACCCAACCTTCTTCATTTATCCGGGCTTCGGATCGGCAGTGACCCCGAAGGGGCTCCAGGCGGAGTTTAGACATAGAAAGCTAGTACTTTATAGTTTTCCTACCAACCTAATAGACTAAACAGAAGGAAAACTTTTTAAAACAAAACCTGTTTATTTAAATGATATTTATCAATGTTACGTTACAAATAAAAGTTCATAGTTTTCTCGTAAGTTTTAGTTTTGGTATTATTATTGTGTAAACTTCTTTTTTTTTCATATCAACTCTCATTAGGTTCCTTACATTGAAACAAGTGCTAAAGATCCTCCAGTTAATGTGGACAAAATGTTTCATGATATGGTACGAATTATCAGGTATGTTTTAAAAACAGTCAATAATATTAAGATAATAAATCGATAATGTTCCATAATTTAGTTTACTGTCTGCATCTAATCCTTTTTGATCAGCAGAGTTTCATTGACTCTTTAGAACTGGAATATATTGTATTATTCATTACTATCTGCCATCCAATTTTTATACAAATAAACTCACCTACTAGACTAGACTGTTAAAATTAATATCATTTTGAGAGAATCTAATAGCAAGAGTTGACTGATGTTGTACGACTACACCTTCAAACACTTATTTGGTTGAATGAAACTAGTGGAGTACGGTATTTTTTTGCCGAAGAGTTTTTACTCAACGAACTACTACTTTTCTTTGTGAGTTTCAATTTTCACTGGTGGCGGTTATCAACAAAATCGCTGTCTCATCTACTTCCAACGCAAAATAAGCAAACTAGACTGTAAGTCTACGAATAATGAACGATTAAAATCATTAATCAATCCATTGTTTTATTTCAGTATCTATATCACTGTGAACTAACTTAACTAATAATTATAATCACTAAAATAAGTGAGTAACTAGTTAAAAACAATGAAAAATCAAGTCTTTAAATAATAAAATTAATTATTTTACTGTCATATTTCTTTTTTTTTTCTCAGACGACAACCACCTCCTCCACCGTTAACATCTAAAGGTGATCGTAAAAAAGTTCGTTGTTTATTATTATAACATGTTAGTTAATATTAGCTGACGATTACTTCATAAATTCTTCTCATATGCTTAAACAAAGCATAATCATCTTTAGTGCCTATGTGCATCTTCAATATTTGATGATTGTAATGTTAAAGCCTATGTATACCCTCAACTCCATTTTACACCTTACTCATTAATTATCCCATTTTCTTCCTAACCGATTCACAATGTCTAAACAGATGATATGTAATAAAATGAAAATTTTGTTAATGATGCTCTCCAGTGAATTTGACTAAAATAGTGATCATATCAGTGTTGAACCTGTGATTTGGTATATTTTTTTTCTTACTTTCTTTCTTCATCTTCTCCTATACACTCCTCACTTCTTTTTTTAATCGTCAGGATTATTGTTTCAGGCATCTATTATTCACTTATATATATTTTTGTTATATGTTTTGAAACAATAAATGCATCACTATATACGGTGTTAGGCAATAATGGTAATGATAACATTAATAATAATAATAATTATTCAAAATGCGCCAATTTCATGTAGTGAGCCATTTTTATATTTTTCCAAATCATATAAACACATATACACATACATTGATTGACATTCTGTACAGGATATTTGCTTCTCTCTCTTTTTTTTTAACTTTTCTGTAAAACAAAACTTTTCCCAGACTGTTATCAGTTATTAAAATACTTGTATCTTTCAATTATCCTGATTGTGCCCGGGACTTACCCTACGACCGTACTACAAAAACTTGGTATTTTTGAATCATGTTGAACTTTAATCTTTCTTCATGAGTTAACTTGACATCTTGTTCCTGGACAAGGTGTATTTGCTTATTCTCTGCCTAAACATTTTTGTACTTACTTATCCAATACTAATGCTGTACTATTAGAAAAACTACATAAATAATTAATGGCAAGGAATTGTACGCTTGTGTTCTTTCCATGAATACAATTTATGTGAGCTAGAGTAACCACTCTTTTGTTTTTGTGTAAATCTTTTGTTTTCTCTACAGACATGTATGATTGGTTAAGCTTTTGTTTTATCCCTTTCAATATGATCATGTATATTTCTACTTTTAAAATCAATCAGCTTGTTGTCAACACATTAACAACTTGATATTCAACCCAGTTTACAATGTCTTTAAAATATCGTGAATATCAATTTCTTCCTTTTGTTTTCTCGCACCTTTTTCTCCTTTCTCTAATATGCGTGTGTATTCCTTTTTGTTCTCTTTATCTGTGAACCCATATCTATTGAGTGTTGTACATTTCTACCTATCGATTACTTTTATATAACGTGCTTTTTCTACACTGTTAGTGTTGTTGTTAATGATCTATTAATTGTGTGTAGGATATCGTTCAATAGTCGAACAACTCTTCTTTTAACTTGATAGTGCTCAGTATACATGTGCGTCTGACTGAAATTTGCCATACAGTCTACTATTGAATCATAAGTGAGCTGCATATTTATTGACCATGTCTACGACAACGGAATATGGTAGTTTGCATAAAATGAATAAGTTGGTTGTATAATATGATGAACTCATTGCTTACTGTTATGCATCGGAATTCTTCCATATCAAATTACATTAAGAACCTAAAAGTTTAGTGTGTTTATAATCACAATAATCCAAAGTGTATTCGTAAGCGCCTGAAAAAAGTCGCCTCTAAAGTCGTGCTGGATGTAAGGAAATGCGTAAAAATATAGGTAACATATTTATGCTTTCATATTGTGCCATTCATTCTCATCATAATTATTGTTAAGGACATTACAGCGAATTAGTTTGAAAAACATTGGACTTCAGTATTAAATCTTACTGAGGTCTTTTGAGTACATCTTTTATTGTGTGATAGGAAAAAATATTTTGCTGATTGGACTTAAACTGCTTAACATTTTTGCGAGGATGGGCTTATCAGTTGACCTTGAGATTTCAATTCCCACCAGGAAAATCCATGGCTGTGATTGTCTTCTGTGTATTTAAGTGTGCTATTTTCTTAACTGTCTCAAGGACGTTCTTATGTTGTATAAATAAACGAGAGTTGTATGCTTGATTGTACTGTGATTGCTGGGTGTTTGTAGAATATACTTTCTACGCTTACAGAGCCTTCTATTTCGATTTTGGGTATTCAAGGTAGCCTCCCTGGAAGCTGGTAAAAGTCTCGTTCGCGTTTATCGACTAAGGTAAAATCGTAATAGCCTCAAGCATACTAAGTGACGAACTTATCAGTGGCGACGGTGCTTTTGGAAATATGGATCCTGCGAAACTTGAATTATTACTTGAACAGCAGATGTTGACAGACATGAAGATTTCCCCTTCCACACAGCCCAGCTCATCTAATGCAACCACAGCTCCATCGGTCGACGGCATCGCAAATAACATAGCTGAATTTCATTATGATCCTGATGCAAATGTTACTTTTGACTTGTGGTTCCGGCGTTATGAAGATTTATTTAAATTTGATTTCGCCAACCAAGATGATGCTTGGAAGGATCGGCTGCTACTTCGGAAGTGGGGCGCAAGTGAACTGGATAAGTACTGCAATTTGATCCTGCCTTTGAACCCACGAGATTGTTCATTTTCTGAGACTGTTCAGACTTTAAGCCAACATTTTGGCGATAACTCGCCACTGTTTAATACTCGATATCGATGTTTGAAGCTAATTATGAACGAAGATGATGACTTTCTTACGCATGTGGGCATCGTCAACCGTGAATGCGAACGCTTTCGGTTGAAGTCTTTGTCGGAAGATCAGTTCAAAGCCCTTATACCGATCTGCAGCCTCCAGTCGAGTAAGTTCAGTGTTATTAGAACAAAGCTACTATGTCGGTTGGAGCAAGATCCGAAGCTCACGCTTAATGACATGGCTCATGAGTACCAACGTCTCACTAACCTACAACGTGACTCAACTATAGTTCAGAGTGGTAGTTCAAGCCGATCTGAAGTTCATTTGGTACACCAGCCACCTAATCATTATAAGTCTGCCCATACTACACCCAGTTCATCCCGCTCCAACTCTGCCCAAAAATCCAAAATGAATCACCCTTCTGCTTGCTGGCACTGCGGCTCATGGCATTATGTATGGAACTGCCCATTTAGGCAGCATAGATGCAGGAAGTGTAAAGTCATCGGTCATAAAGATGGCTTTTGCCGACAGAAAAAGTCAAACCGATCCAGAAAGGCTAAAAAGCCTGTTCCTAGATCCAGTACCAATGCATTGAGCCTAATATCTTCCTGCCAAAGCTCATCACCATGTGAGAGGAAATTTATTACTCTTAATATTAATGGGCATTTGTGTAGATTGCAAATAGATACCGCATCTGATGTCACTATTCTCTCACGCAAAAATTGGACCAAATTGGGCAGCCCAAGCCTGCAGCACACAACACAGAAGCATCGTACAGCATGTGGTAATTACCTTCGTCTGTTAGGACAATTGGAATGTAAAGTTGCTTTCCGAGATTCTTCATTTACTGGGGAATGTTATCTAACGCCAGCTGATCTAAATTTACTTGGTTTAGATTGGTTCGACCAGCTAAAAATGGCTGATGTCCCATTAAATACCATATGCCACTTGGTATCACAACTACATGACCCCGAAGCATATACGAAGAAGCTGATGACAGAGTTTTCAACCATTTTTGAACCTGGATTAGGTCGGTGCACTGCCATGAAAGCAACACTTCGGTTGAAACATGGGGCCAAGCCTGCATTTCGTCCAAAGAGATCCGTACCTTATGCAACATTAGCAACAGTAGATGAGGAGTTAGATCGCCTTCAACGACAAGGAGTTATTACTCCCGTTTCTTACTCTAGTTGGGCAGCACCTATAGTCGTTATCAAGAAGGCCAACGGCACGATACGTATATGTGCTGACTTTCCTACAGGTCTAAACGCAGCTCTGAAACAGCACCATTATCCTCTGCCAGTCCCAGCAGATCTGTTCACTATGCTGAATGGGGGAAAGTTTTCCGCAAAGCTCGTGTTAGCTGATGCTTATTTGCAAGTGGAAGTCGATGAAGCATCTGAAGAGCTACTTACCATCAACACCCATCGTGGTTTGTTCCAGTATAACCGTCTACCTTTTGGAGTTAAGACTGCCCCATCTATCTTCCAACAACTAATGGATACTATCCTGTCAGATATCTCAGGGGTTGCAGCTTATCTCGATGATATCTCAATTGTTGCGAAGACGTTAGAACAGCTACGGGAACGTACGACACTGGCACTACAACGCATCAGTGACAACGGTTTCCGGTTACGCACAGAAAAATGCCAGTTTCTATTGCAGTAGGTAAGGTATTTAGGATTCATCTTTGATGCCGACGGTCGCAGACCGGATCCTGAGAACATCCGAGCTATCAAACTGATGCCCACTCCCACTAATGTTTCAGAATTACGATCTTTTCTAAGATTAATCAATTATTATTCAGCTTTTGTTCCCTCGATGCATGATATTCGCGCTCCATTGAATTGTCTACTGTAGAAGCATAGCACATGGAACTGGACTAAAGAGTGTGACGCGGCTTTTGGTAAACTTTAGTCCATAATTAGCTCGAAATTGTTATTCACACATTACGAACCATCCATACCGATCATCGTAGCAGCAGACGCTTCAGCATATGGCCTACGTGTTGTTATTTCACATCAGCTTCCAGACGCGTCAGAAAAAGCCGTTCTGCATGCATCCCGTACACTAACCCCAACAGAAAAGAAGTATAGCCAGATAGAGAAAGAAGCTCTTGCTCATGTGTTTGCTGTTCGCCGTTTACATAAGTTTCTGTACGGTCGGAGATTCACGCTCCTCACAGATCACAAACCTCTGTTAGCAATATTTGGTTCTAAGTCTGGCATTCCAGCCCATTCTGAAAATCGTCTTCAGCGATGGGCCTTGGGATACTGGCACCACTACTCTTTCACCAAACGTCAGACAACCGTTCACGATGCATAGTGAATCCCACTGCTGATACAGTTGCGTCATGTCGCCTTCAAACTTTTTCGACGGCCAACCGTTAGTGA